GGCACTTGAGACCCGCTAGTGATTTACAAAGCAGCCCGTATATGGAGCATAAATAAGGATTGTGAGATGAGATCACTGTTAGATAGGCTGACCTCTTAGATCTTGCTCTCGCTTCTGGAAAATGATTCAGACAAGGTGAAAACTGCTGAGTTCACTAAAACACGCTGATCTTCATTCTACCCGGTCCGAGGCTAAGCGCTCGAGGGTGTTATGAGGTATATTGACAGCTAACAAGTTGACAAGTATATATATATATATATATATATATATATATATATATATATATATATATATATATATATATATATATATATATATATAGCTCTGTTAAATTATATCGAGCACTATTTATTAACACTACCACTTAATAAATGTGCGATATTATTCTTATCTCTCTCTCTCCATATATATATATATATATATATATATATATATATATATATATATATATATATATATATATATATATATATGGTAGAAATAAAATCACTATACAGTAACTTATAATAAAAAGGGAAAGAAATGAAGTAGTTATTTGCATTTCGAACAGTATCGGTAATTAATTTCCTATTGTTTACCACAGCATTTTATTGTTAACCACAATTAACCAGAACGATTTAAATAAAAACTTTCGGGAATTTGGATTAATTGCTTTGTTTTAATTGTTTTTGTAAGTATCTGTATAGTGACTTTATTGACAACATATATATATATATATATATATATATATATATATATATATATATATATATATATATATATATATATATATATATATATATATATATATATATATATATATTATATATATATTGTATATATATATATATATGTGTGTGTGTGTGAGTGTGTTTGTGTGTTGTGGATGTATATGTGTATATCTGAGCGTACACGCACACACACACACACACACATACACACACACACACACACACACACAGCAGTCTGTCGTTTAAAAATTATAAACAGATTTTATTAAAATAATGTGTCCAGGAAAATATTTTTTCCCATCTAGGAACTGTTATTGATTTTTCCATGGGGGACTTCATAACTTTTTGTAGTGTGTATCGTCATTGTTTTCACTCTGAGTTAATGGTATCGAAATGGAATAAATGTATTTCTCTTGCAAACTGAAATGTTTTTTTTCAATGATGTCACTGTTTATTGCGACATATTTTCCAAAATATTCTGTCCAACTATTCGTTCCATCTATGAAAATAGTTTCTCGTTAACTTTTTATCAGAGTTGTGTTAAAAATCTTGACCTTTAAACGCTACTTTCAATTTCCGGAAGGCCAGAAGTCTGATGTTAACAAATCAGGGATATAGGGAAGGTGATTTCTCAGCAACGCTGAATTTCAGGCATCTCACTGTTTGCACAGTTTGTTGATTGCGATGGCGTAATACAAGAAAAAAAAAAGAGGAAATAGTCGACCTTCAGGCTTTATTTTGCTTTTGCGTTGTTTAAGTACTCACAAAGATCCACCGCTTTCATATCTGCGTGAATTTCGATTGACGCAAATCTACTGTCTAAAATTATATCATTGATCTCTGATGCAACATATTCTTCTATGTGACTTGTCCTTTCAAAACTTCAGTTATCGTAGCCATCCACAGCTACTTATCCTTTGTAGTTATTAGTAACTTTTGTCATTTTGCCATCGCTACCAAACGCATCCATTTTGCCATCTCTTCCAAACCACCACCTATTCACAAAAGCTACTCAGCTCGGTTTTGCCTTCACTGTGTCCTCTAAGTTTCAAATCATTCAAGCCCTTTTTTTTCAATGTGTCCAAGAATTTTCATCTGTTTCCTTCTGATTTTGTGTAAAAATGTCCATTTTGTTTCTATTTTCCTTCGTTGCATATTCATCCCATCCATAGTATTCTCAGCAATCATCTGTAGAGCCACATCTCTGTGGATTTCAATCTTTTTTTCATCTGTGTGTAGATACATAACTCGAACGTAGACCTCAATGATTAGTTAAGGTTTCATGTCGGGGACTGACACGTATGAAAGAAACTCTATAAAATAGTGATTGTGCGTTCATATTTTTACCATCACTGCCATTAGCTATGTCATGCGACAGGAGGCATTTATTAGCAAAAATATCTCATTATCAAAATGATTGGGGTACACGTTTACTTTTAGTCAAGTAATTCCCACCGAAGCTAGTGATCGGTTCTCGAATCAATGTTAAGGCTCGGAGTTCAAATGCTGATTTTATAAGCAGATATGTTCTCCTATTTCCCATTCCCACAATTAAATACGCTAAAATAACATGTCCAGTAAACACCAATACTATGGATAGGTTTTTCCAACGAGTGTTTATAGAAAAAAAACTTTCTCTTCTAAACTTGTAGAGCTCTGATAACGGAGAAATTATATTTGTGCAGTTACCATGGCAATAAATTGGAATCTGCAAGCTGAGTTCAAATGCCTGTCTACTCTATTGCGTTCATTTTTCGCACCAATGCATTTTGGAAAGACATGAGTACATTTCTTCTCCCTTTCAACTTAAATATCAGGAAAATCGAGGCTCTCTATATTTGGGTGGTAGCCATTCTTGGAGGTCAACTTTGAACTTAAAAACGTGTAAATCATTTTGCCAGTAAATCATGATAAATCACAGATCTTTTGAAAGGAGCCTGTGGAGAGCCATTATCGCCTATTTAATTTAAAATTATGGCAATTAACACGAAATTAATTTTCTTTCATGCGCATGTATAAAGTGGAATCTTGTTGCTAATCAATAATATTCATTCGGATTTTGTGGGTAAGTTGGCATGAAGAGCGTTTAGCTTTAACTATCTACATTAAAAAAAAATCAGAAAGTGACAAAACAAGGCGATTCATACATTCAACACCCTTCGACATGTATGTAACTCCAGAGAATTGTTCCTCTGTAATCAGTAAGGAATCTTTAACACCAAATTGAACGCAGTTCCACTTTACGGATGTTAGTCATATACAGCGAAAAATGTCATTAACAACAAACATTTTTAAACCTTTACCTTTAACACCTTATGAACAGAAAGCAAGCGCTGGACTGAGATCCAAAAAAGAAAGGGAACACTCAAAATGGCCTGGAGAAGAGAACATTTTCGTGTGAGGTAAAGGAAGTTGGTCTAATATTAGCACTCTTACGTAGAATTGTTTAGAACCGATTCCAAACTTGTGCTCCACAAGATGTATACAGGAATGAACTAAAGTATACTTTTATAAAAAAAAATTGCTTCTAATTGTACTGTAACATTTATTATATCAGACTTTGGTTTCTTTTCCGTTGTCAAATTTGGCATAAATTTTGTTGTCTAGCATTGTGAATGGATTGAAATAAGCAGTATTTTTAGCATATTATTCTTTTTAACTTTAAGAAAATGTAAACATGTTATTACAACGCAAAAGCAACAACAGCAACAGAAAAAGAACTTTACTGCTTATGGATAAATTACTGAAAATGATTATAAGTTTCAAAGACGGTTTTTGCAAAGTTTCAGGCAGGAGAGTTCTCGCTGAACGAGATACTCCATAGTAGCTTAAATAAAGGTTGGTCAGGATCAAATACCAGAGAAGAAGCAGCGTTTATACAATGTGGGTGATAGCCAATATGTACGAATCAAGCATTAAGATTATTTGCACAAATTTGGCTATGTTAATCGGTTTTGTGCAATTAGTTGATTAAACGGAATTAAATATTCATTTACGATACGTATTCTGACGGACAACAAAAAATAGATAATTCTCAAAAGAGAGTGTAGGAAATTGTGGGGCAAGAAAAATATCACAGCTCCTAACTCTACTGGCGGTCAATTTTTATACCCAAATCTGACGCTGTGTATATATTAATATGAGAATAAAGTCGTCCACTATGAGAACTTTTCGAGTGAACAATAGATTGATTCGTATAAGTACAGATCCCTGTCAGACCCAAACGAAGGCCTCAATTGGCGAAAAACGTAATGGCTCAATATTCTATCAAGATTTGTTGACTTGGAAAAAATTATATAAATATATTTTTTCTGGGTAGTTTTCATTTAAAGGCTGTCTTCACCAGAATTTTATTGCAACTTCAGTTTACCATATATTGTCGTCTCTACTGAATTCTTTAAATCAAAGAAGGAATTAATTTCCAGAAAGACTGAGAAAAACCTGCGCCTAGAGCAGTATGTTACTGAAAAGGATGTTTTAAAATATTCTATAAGTATGGAAGTATGTAATAAAGCATGAAATGTATTAAACCAAGTTAATATCGAAAATGTAAGAAAAAATAAGGTCTTTTACTTTTACAAGAACATGAACAGTTTTGGTGACCCAGTAATTTTTCTTATGAATATGGAAATCGGATTTATCATTGGACGGCGTCTTTTTGGATTAGTAATTGATTTTATAGTAGATAACTTGCAGGTAAATGTTGTCTGCACATAAAGTGGAATCGTTGACCTATTTCCTATTTCATCCTCGTCTGTTGCTTTGAATTCGCACTAATAGTAGTGGAAAAGGCATGGATTCATCTCTTCTTTCAACAGCTATAGGTCAAATCTTGGCCGGAAACCAGTCTAGGAGAACAACTCTGAATTCAAAACCATGAAGACGGCAGCTGGAAATCGCTCCATTATCATTCACAAGGACGATCAATTGCCTAGTCAACTAATATTGATAGAATATTTCAGTTCACTGATATCAAAAGTAGCTGTGGAGAGCTATTATCTCCTGCATCCTGAAAACAACATTTAGAAATATTTTCAAAATATCAGCCAGACAATTTTCTACAGATTTCCTGTATATGTTCGTAATTTCTGTAAATGGTGCTGTTACCTTGCGTGAGAGAGCGAAATAACCTTCACTTAAGTTATTTTATTATATTGAACACGTGGATCTCTGTTTTTGCGAAATACTTGTGAAGCGCGCTATCAGAAAAGCCAAACAAATATTCGCGAAGCCTTATAGTGCACCAAATTTCCGCAAGCCACTCTATCAGTTCATTAATATTGCAGTGACCTGTATTGTTGACTTCCTGTAGCTGAGTAAATATTAATAAAAACGAAATTGTAAAATTGAGATAGATAGATAGACAGATAGATAGATATTAAAATAACTGTCAACATCGAGATGAGCTGCTATATATTAACATAGAAAAAGTTGACAGATTTTTCAAGTACAGAAATGTTCATTCCGTGACTGGAAGAGAATTATCTTGAAAATAAAAACATCCCGTTAGTGTTTATGCTTAACATGTACTCTCTCTCTCTCTCTCTCTTGGAACTCAGCTCTCCAATTAACAATTCTGAGTTGTTATCCATTACATCGCCCTCGTACTTCCAATCTCTAACCCATCTATTTAATGACAAGACTTGACATTGCTTAACATCGGTGATCGTACGGGTACCGGTGTTTCAAACGGATATGACCGTAAGTCATATATAGAGAGAGGTGGTGAGAGAGTTTAATATATGTATATATACTGGTTACTATATATATATATATATATATATATATATATATATATATATATAAAATAAGTGGTGCAGTTCAATTTATGTTACATGAATCATTCATACAAAAAGTAGATTAGTAAAGTTAATGATATAAAATGCCGAAAAAACTTCTTCGCAAGCACAATTTTTAAAGTTGCATTAACATACGAATCACTCGATGAATGTTATGATCCTTGTTTTAATAACTACAAGTTGTATAAGGACTATTTGTCATCTGCTAGTAATTTCAGTAATATCATACAGTCATTCTCAGGCATGAAAATTATTTCGTTTTTAGTAAATCCAGGTAGTAACAGGACATGAAAGATTAAATGCGAATCGAAATATGTTTTTTTTAGAAATGTGTTATTGTTAACGGATAAAAACTTTTGGAGCGTGCAGTCGCAACGCTAAGGTTAAATTTTTTTTAATATTTAAGTAAGTGCGTTTTTTACTAATATTGTTATTTGAGAATTTTTTTGTTCTAGGAGTTTTTCAGTCAATGTTGTATGAACTAAATTGTTCAATAAATAGAGTAATGTCGCAGATGTTATCTCGAAAATTTGCACGTCGTATCAGTTCTTTTAAATCAAATATGTGGAGCATTTCAAATTATATTACAATGAATCATTCATACAAAAAGTAGATTAGTAAAGTTAATAATGCACTCTCCTAAAGCTTTTATCTGTTAACAATAGCATATTTCTAAAAAAACATATTTCGATTCGCATTTAATCTTTCGTGTCCGCTACTACCTGGATTTATTAAAAACAAAATAATTTCTATGCCCGAGGATGGCTGTATGTACTGCTGAAATACTAGCAGATGAAAAAAAGACCTTATACAAATTGTAGTTATTAAAAACAAGGATCATAACATTCATCGAGTGATTCGTATGTTAGTGCAACTTTAAAAAAAATTGTTTGCAATTGTTTCGCCATTTTATATCATTAACTTTACTAATCTACTTTTTGCATGAATGTTTCATGTAATATATATATATATATATATATATATATATATATATATATATATATATATATATATACATAGATAGATAGATAGATAGATAGATAGATAGATAGATAGATAAATAGATAGATAGATATACTAACGAGTTAAACCCCACAAAGAGACAAGATTCATATCGCTACTCCGAGTTTCATGCAGAACGGTGGTCTGCGTGAGACTTTAAGTATCGATTTGGAGCGAGTCTCTTTGCGCAGTTTTTTTTGGGTAGTGCTACTGCTCTGCGCTGGGCTGTTTGCTAGAGGCATTGAGTACTTTGATTTATTGCCTTGGTTGGTGTCTGTTTTTTCTCTTTTTTACTTTTTTCATTTTTTTTTAATGCTTTCTTTCACTTCTTTTGTCGTTTTCTTTTTGATCTTGGGTCCTTTTTCTTTTCGCATTTCAATTATTTTTCGTTCCGTCGGCTCGGTGTTTGTAGGGTTATTTTTGAAAGCTTTCTGTTTTCATATATATGAAATGAACATTGAGGTCAACATCCAGCGGCTAAAGTCTGTATAATGCTTAAACGTGATGTTCAAACCTGGGTTTAAATCGCTTTTTAATCGCATAAATGGAGGGAGTTTGATTCATGCGTTTTCAAAGAACATTAGCGCGAAACGAACAAAATGGACATGTTAAGAATTTGAACTGTACACATCGATTCCACTTTCCGCATCGTTTCCGGTGACAATACACGCACATCCAACTGGTCAATAATTGATAATAGAGAATGTTTTTCGTTCCCCACTGACGATATCCGTCCTTTCACACGGTACAAACGCCGCTTGAATGAGACACAACAGTCGCAAAGGTAAAAAAATAAAATGCCAGTTCATCACAAAGTCAAACGTTACATTATAGCCATGGGATATTTGCGAATGCTTGGCTTTTCCAAGTAGTCGTTGTAAAATAAAACTCCGCCATAAATGCAGAGAATATTGTCCCCCCCCCGCACCAAAAAAAAAATGAAAATCAATTGCTTCGTCCATAATTGATTACATCGTTTTAGTTTGATTACTTTTTTTTACACTCAGCAAGGGACAATTTTAAAAAAATAATTATATAGAAGATCACAAACATCAGAGAGTGAACAAAGCATACAAAGACATTGATAAATATGACCTTATTCCACATTTCATGCGAAATTATATCTACATAACAGATTTTTTTTTATATCTAACAGCTTTTCGGTTGATGTGTGCTAAAGCTTTTGCCAAGTGTTGGCTGCGTCTGTTGCACTTGAATATATTGATGTAGTGGTTTCTTGCACAATGTTAAAAAAAACATCTTCCAAATTTCTTTCAAGTTTTCTCAACTCTTTTTTGCTTGTGGAAACGGTTTATGTAAGAAAGAATTTACAGTTAAAGAATATAAATCACGTAAGTCGTTATCGTTTTATTTTTCTGTACAGTGAAAATAGTCTGTTTTCGATAAAAAAAAAGTCTCTAATGAAGAAAAATGCATTTATTACGAGAACCCGAAAAGAAAAATTGTCATGCTGCTGTAGAGATAGTTAAGGATAATCTTAAAAAACATACAGGAATACTTAGAGAGAATAATTGACGCTTCATCGCACCCTCTAAAATAGCTATACATTGACCGATCGAGTACAAATTTCGGAGTGAAGTGCAAACAGGTAAGGTGGTACAAAAGTTCAGTTGATTTCTCTTGGGTGAGCAGAAACAGCGAAGTAGGGGTTTTGCCCAAATATGTTTCCAGACAAATCAGCTTATTCAAGTTTCATCGATTGGTTTGCGAAACTGGACGAAACGTAGAGTTTGTAAATCTCGACAAAAATGTTAGCGGTAACTTCAACAATACTAAATACTGTGAGGATTTGCAAAAAAAAAATTTTAGTGAATGAAAAACAAACATGGCCGGAAATTCCCTTTGAAGCCACCCCTCAAAAGAAAGAACCAGATAGAAAACTCCCTGTATTAACCTCCTTCCGATCCACGCCCACTTCCTCAGAAATGGTTTGTGTTTGGATGTAATAAATAGAAAAGAAAAATATTCCAATATAACTAAACTAGTAGAATTAGTAGAATTTTTGAATACAGTATAACATAACAATTTAGTAACTCTTTTGGTTTAAGTTTACCTTTTTCATATTTATATTTTGTTTTCTTATTTGTTTCTGAGTTGCTTTATCCATAGTGTCGTTAGTAAGGAAGTTGCTTAAGATTTCTTCAAATTTTAATCCAGTCACTTGTAAATGAGCAGCTTATATGAATGATATATTTATAAAGACAATTATATGAGTAATCCGAAATGAAAAGATTGGTAGATACAGTAGCGTCCATCATTGAAAACATCTCTACCACTTTTCTTTGCAATGAAAGTTAATTATGTTCTAAACCAAACATCTCAGAACGGCATTACTTCTAATGGAAAATTACGTTGATTATCAGGTATGATATATGACCACAATCACAGCACAGAAATTATATTGCTAAAAAAAAAAAAAATATGTTGTCGTTCAAAAATGCTTATTTAAAAATGTTTATTTAATTCTATATAGTAATTAAAATTAAAACCATTTTTGATCCATTTTTAATATGAGATTTAAATTTTAAATGATTCTAAGTATAAAGGACGTTTTTGTTTGCATTTTCTTTAAAAGTTCGATGTTGCTCAGAAGTTTGGTTCAAGGTATTCTCAGCATTCTTCTGTAAAAGCACATTTCTGTTGCTACAAGACTGAATCTGAGCAAGTAGGCAATGGCCCAAACTGTCGAATAAAAAAAAAATTGGAAAAGTGGAGAAGTACAGAAAAGCTGACACTCAAGCCAATTTTTAATCGTGAGGATGGTTGATGAAAATCGAAAGAAATCGGTTGCAGTTTTTGCAACGTTCTGTGGTCACCAATTACATCTGATACCCGAAGAAGGCTGGAAGGCATAACTTTCGAAATGTTCCGTCGATAAAATCTAAGATGTGAAGACTAGTTTTGATACAACCGTGTAAAATACTGATTACTGATATAAAAAAAAATGGGCAACATTTTTTTATCATACGTTATTTCTCGGTGTTCAATGACCTTTGCTGATTTTACCACATATCGACAGAAACCCTTTTATACAAACAATAAAAAAGAAGTGTTTGTTCAAACAATTCGTGAAGTAATGATCTCTTATGGTTGTTTACAATGTAAACTCTGAAAAAATATTTTCTTCTTCTATTCTAAGTGATACACACAAGCTAAGCGATATAATTAGCGCTGTTAAAGAAGCCTTAAATAAATACACGGGCATGCATAAACGAACATATGGTTTATTGAAGAAAACAGAATCGAGATAACACCAAAACGTATTCCGTTATTCGCAAATAAAATATCGTACAAATTAGATGCGTATTCAACTCAGAACATAATATATACCAATTCACTCACGATCACATATTTACTCTTTCCTACGAATATACGAAGGTGTAATAAAAATATCAAAGTTTTGCACTACATTTTGTGATGCAATCTTTTCGCTTGAAGCCTGGCGTCTTCGAATTCTCACGAAGCCTGGCAGCGAAATATGTTACCAATTTATTTTTTTTTCCAATGGAGCGAACCGAAGCTCTTCTGATTGTCACTCATAATGGCAGCCTAGCTTGACACAGCCATTGTAAAATTGTTTCACATACGTTTTCTTAATCGAATTTCGACAAGAAAATTCTTCGAAGTGCCGTAGAAAACTGGTTCTGACATAAACGTACATAGATTTGCATTTTTTACTTATTTTGTCTTTAATTGATGCAGCTGACATTCATTGTTTTATTCTTTTTTTATTCCGTTGACTAATTTTTTTTTCTTTTTACACTGAGATAAATGCACCCAGCAAGTTTCTTTTTCACGAAATCTTTTATTCATATAAATTCAAAGCATCATTATTCAGTCTTGTTTTTTTTCTATAGCATTACGCCACCGTTCTGATGAATCGTGTATTCTATAATAAAAGAAGAATTTCGGTATGGTTTCGATAAATTCTTTGAGTGCCATCGCAAAGAAGGGACAAACTCCGGAGGTATCTTAGAACGGTGGGGTGCGTTTGCGTATATGTGCAAATAGACGCCATATTCATAAAACTAAATTTAATACTGAGTGTCTGATGAGCAAATATTTTAACAACATTGTCATCTCCATATAATAGATTCTCTATAACCTTATCCGACATAAACTACAAACACGTATTGTATAAGTAGAATTCATCATGAAACCAGTGCGACCTCCCACCCCTCTACGTTCGGCGAAATATACAGGATGTTGTCTATAATGATATGGTAACCCGAAGAAAGCAGTTAATGTGAAGAAGGATCCTGATCAATTAAAAGCATTGCACAGGCATTTGCAAAATATCGTTCCTCATTGGTTAATTGTAAATGCGTGTTGATTTTACAGGATAATGCGCAACCCCCAAATCCCCGTGTCACACACGAAGCATTATAGCGAAGATTTGCTTCACCCTCCTCATTCACCTGACCTTGATCCATCTATAACTTTTTCTGATCATTTAGATATTATCTTTTAAGGGAAATCAACTTATGAAGAGAATTAAACCGATACTGAGTATTTCTTTGCATCGAAACACAAAGAATCTGACACTTCCCAAATAGATGGCATTTTATTATCGATAATGAGGGGAAATGTTATCTTGATTAAATATATCAGTTAAGATCAGAGAAACATTTGTTTCTTTTCGATCTTCAAATGTGGTAGGACTTTCTAACCACCTTATATAAATTTTGCATTGCCACAGTTATTCGTTGGATATATAGTGACTTCTCTCCGGTCTTGAGATGATCTTCTTCTAAACTGACCCCCAACCAAGAGCCCAATTTTCCACGTGAGTTATTTCATAGCTAGGGGGTGATATTAAATGTATTTATACCCTTCTTGAGGAAATATGTGATGTTAAAACAAGCTTTCTCAACCGTCAACTGTGCTGATTTAATTTTTCCGCTGTTAATTCCACCTGTATATCTAGCACTTAATATGGTGGATTGACATCTGATGGGATTCCTACACACTGCTTAAATAATTGTGTCGATACAATTTATATATCCATTGGTAATGGTAATATTAGCCGTTTCCCAATAAGGAAATAATTGATTGAACGGCCAGTACCGCTGTCGGTTGAGATTTATAAAATCTTTCTCTTAAAACCTATTTTTCAGGAAAATAGGTTTCTCCAGTCCCGTAGCTATTATCACTCTTCTCACTATTGATGAGGGTTTCCTTCCTAACCTTTTATATGAAGTAATGTGGAATTTCAACATGTTTATGATATCATTATTTTCTCTTTGATTTACATGTTCTATACATTATCGTTGTTGCCGCTGTTGGTAGTCCTCAAGTGGTGTGATTTCTGTTATTTGGTATAATTCTATCTTTGTGATTATATAGCGCCAGTCTACAATGTTCAACGAAGCGGGGTCACTTGCTCAAAATCTTTTTTACTATGCATCCTAGAAAAGCGGTTATATACAGCTGACATTTTAGATATTTCTGAACGAGTTTGGCGTCAAGCATGTTATCCAAATGAATATCTCGATCTGACGAAGCTATTTAAGTACATACGTTGAGTTTTCAGATTGACCTAGGTGATTAATATCGAAATAGTTAGGAAATATAGGCTGTTGATGAATCATAGGAGATATTATTTACCAGTGAAGTTATATCGATGGCGTAGTTTCGTGGCTTCTGATAGGTTTGCTTTAGTCGTGATATTCACACAATAGAAACCCCGTGGGCATCGATGGCTTTTGAAAGAAATCAAATCGAATGGTAGGAATCTCTATGAAGACCAAATTCTATCATTTTCTAGACCAAGCCTAAACACTGTCAATGCGCTTATATTTTAGTTTCTTATTATCATTTTCAAATGTTTTCCAAGACGAATTCAAGAAAAATCATATGGAACCAACTGATAATAAAGTAAATGTTGGCCTATGAAAAAGAAGGCTTTTTTTATACTAAATAACACCAAATACAAAACGCGAAAGTCACTCAAGGTCAACGAATAAATTAATTAATGCTGGATGATATGGTGAATAAAAATAGAAGAGAATGTGGTAGTAAGTGAACATTATGAGGTTCTAAAGAAAGATAACGTTTAAACCTTGACATGAAGATGTCAGCTTTGAAGAGATCAGAGAAATACCAACGAGGGAGTCTTTTCAGCAAAGTGACAATTCTTGGGACAATCAATCTGTGGAAGTTTCTGGTTATATTTGAAATACAGAGGAAATGAAGGCTATTTGACAACATGGAAGTAATATGGAGTGTCTTAGCTGAAAAAAATTCTAAACTAGTAGAGCTGAAGAATGGTGCTGATCTGAACATTTGCCATGAAAATATCGATAGTTTATCGACAGTTTCGCGACGTTGCGCCTGTTGAAAAGTGGTTACGGAGTAGGAAGTAAGTCTTCCCTCGCGTAAACGATTTTCAGCTATATCAAGGCTAGAAGGAGAGGGGTTAGCATCTCCATTCCAGATATAGCATAATTATTCAATTTTTGGCCTAATCAAACTCTCGTAAAAATATAGCATGACAGAAGGAGACAAATACTTCCTGGAGCGATAGATTGAACTGAACATTTAGCACCATCCTTGGCAGTGGATTGTATAGAGGTGATTTGAAAAATAGCAGTCGACTGCAGCTGCATCAGCACAAGACCGGAAGAAGCCCTCCGGAAATCGAAACCCTAAATCAGCTAAGCCAGAAAATCGATTGTCCTCTGTGTGAGATAGCGATTGGAAGCTGTGTACGAATGATCAGCGAAGACGAGTTGAATCTTAGCCGAATGAGAAAAAAAATTATTACGTTGGAAGATGTATAGATCATCGACAGAAGACTGGACGAATTTAACTTGATAAGGATTGACAGCATATTTCAGATTAAAACGTCACAAAATCGAAACAGAAAAAGTAAAAGTAGAAAGATTCTAACAAAATGCATAAATACACACAGACAATATATATATATATATATATATATATATATATATATATATATATATATATATATATATATATATATATATGTATGTATGTATTGTCTGTATATATATATATATATATACATACATATATATACATATATATATATATATATATATATATATATATATATATATATATATATATGGGGGGTTCTAGAAGGCATTGTTATAAAAAGAAAAACTCTAAATAAAATAAAATATATTTCCCCACAGTAGACAGTATCTTGAAATATGAATAAAATAATTTATCTCTGTATCAAAATTATTATTATTATTATTATTATTATTATTATTATTATTATTATTATTATTATTTCCTTTTATTTCTGTTGTATACATATTTCCTTCCGAATCTCAACCAGAAACTTAAGGATAACTCCATGATATTTTCCACTGATTAGTTTTGTAAAAACTAGATCACACACATTTTACATAGATAAAGCTAATAATAATAATAACAATGCTTCTTCTTCTTCTTCTTCTTCTTCTTCTTCTTATTCTTATTCTTCTTCTTCTTATTATTATTATTATTATATATATAAAGCTTATTATTATTATATATAAAGCTTATTATTATTATTATATATAAAGCTTATTATTATTATATATAAAGCTTATTATTATTATATATAAAGCTTATTATTATTATTGTTATTATTATTATTATGTTGGTGTCGCACGATGACGTAGCCAATGGAACCCCTGTCTTTGAGGTATGCTGTCAACCAGATTCATCACAACTTTTCGTAGAATCATTGCAGATAAGTGATTGCACGAATGTATGGAGATCCAAAATCCTGGTCTCAATACCATTTCATCTCTAGCGCTCTTCTGTTTTTATTATTATTATTATAATTATAATTATTATTATTAATGCTTTTCCTGCACTTTCTAGCTACATTTAACCGTTACATATGGCGTTACTTTGAAGGAATTCCTCCATACCAAAAAAGAAGAAAGACAAAAGAATCCCGGACGTAGCCAACAAAATTTTGTCTAGCACACCGATTACATCCTGTTCATGATAATGATTGAGACGGAAGAAAGTACTTTAACAAAAAAAACAAAAAAAAACACATTACGTCAAACAGTTTATGATGTTTTCCTGAATCCTGTTCTTTTATTGCCCTCACACCTCTCTAAAGCATTATCATTCTCGTCCACTTTCAGTAACACCTAGAGTCTGAGTAGCATTATCTCCTTGCTTGGGATGATATGATCAAAAAACGTATCTGGTTGGAAGGAACATTCTTGCGATTTGTTTATTTAGAAAGCTGGAAAACTTTTCTTGCAACAAACATATATATATATATATATATATATATATATATATATATATATATATTATAGGATATTACATACAAAAAATTGAAAAAATCTACTAAAACCTTGGTTTGCGTAGCGTTTTTCTACATGTTTGAATGAAATATAAAATATTTCTGTACTACCTCGATTGTATTGAGACTTATTTAAAATTAATGTCATGAATGTTGGAATTTATATTCGATTCACTCATTTCATTATATATATATATATATATATATATATATATATATATATATATAGAGAGAGAGAGAGAGAGAGAGAGAGAGAGAGAGAGATTAGTTTGATAAGAAATTGGTTTGTTAACAAACAATTATGGATATGAATTGACAAATTCCGTTAAGAATTGACTGATATAGATACGAATAAATACACACACACGCACACATACATATGTGTGCGTGTGTGTGTTTGTGTGTGTATGAAGACTGAGCTCAACACCGGGTAGTAAGTTTGTTTACTGCTTAAAAGCAATCTTCAGACACATGATCTCACGATTGCTTTCAAGCGAGAAACAGAAATCTCCACTCCTTTATATACACACGCACTACGCCTCATTTGAAAACTTTTTATTCGCAAATATACCATGCCTTAAAAGAATATTTTATCATATATATATATATATATATATATATATATATATATATTTTTTTACCATCCTGTTCAAAAATGCGCATTTGAGGTTTCATCCTTGGTGAAATTCGGCATCGATGCTCCATTCCAGCAAGGAAATACATTGAACCAATAGCTGCATCTACTGCAAGGAACGTTAGTTCTCTGTGTCCGTCTTACACATGTACGAATCTACCATTCACCCGTGCATTGAATACTTTTGCCATACCTGACCTGGTGCCCCTGCTTTTCATAACGATGTTCTTGACAAATTCCAAAGAAGGATCTGCAATGTAATCGATCTTGACATGATATCTCGACTTCAGTTACTTTCTCACCGACGTGATCTGATTCCCTCTCTCTTTTCAACAAATATCTTTATAGGAACTGCTCTGACAAGTTTTTTTTTCCTGGTGCCCTGACTTCATGAATTTGTGTGCTACTAGATTGGCATCTAGGTCCCACCCTTTCACTGTTGAAATAGGTAAATATAACCACCAATTCTACTCCGACAATTTCATTGGCGCACTTCAGGACTTTCCATTTTTCTTACTTGCTTCCTTGGTAACTACAGTCTTCAAAAATGTTCAACTGTTGAATTGAACACCGTTCACCTTTTATCATTTCCTCAATCCCCCCCCCACTGTTCCCAGTCTTTTCTCTGACTTTCACTGTCTGTAACTTCCTGCGTGCTAGTGGCACCCCTGCCTTGCTTGGGATGAAAGGCTTAAAAAACAACAAGAAAGATTGAACTCAGTAGATACATCACCTCCCTGAAAACATTTTTAATTATTGTACAATTACGATCATTGTACATTATTTCAAGTCATTTTCATTTAGCTGTCTCTGCTATTCACCGGATTTTAAAAGTGTCAGGTTGCCTATAAAACGGATGATATATATATATATATATATATATATATATATATATATGTTGTGGTAGGATCCACCTAATTTGCATTGTGGAGTACCGACCATATAAATCAAGAGATTCAACCAGAGACTCTGCCCGACTGCGACTAAGTCAACACATTCTCCAGGAACGGTCTTACCAGGAATATACAAAAGACTATATGTAAATATTGTGTACACTTTCTTGTTTCAATACATTTTGTTCTAAGTACATTTTGTATTGCATTATTATTCCATGCATTAGTCAAGTTTCAACAATGGCGACGAGGTAGAAAGAACTATACGAAAAAAAAAGAAGTCATATCTGAATTATTCAAATCCCATCAGTTGAGTCAGCAACGTCAAAGTGAACAGTTTGCCTTATTAATAAGGGAACAACAGATAGCACAGCAAAAATATGAAGAAAAGCAAGAGGAAAGACAGCAAAAATATGAAGAAATGCAAGAGGAAAGACAGCAAAAATATGAAGAAATGCAAGAGGAAAGGATGAAGAAAACAAGAGGAAAGACAAAAAATATCAAGAAAAGCAAGAGGAAAGACAGCAAAAAATATGAAGAAAAGCAAGAGGAAAGACAGCAAAAATGAAGAAAAGCAAGAGGAAAGACAGCAAAAATATGAAGAAATGCAAGAGGAAAGACAGCAAAAATATGAAGAAAAGCAAGAGGAAAGACAGCAAAAATATGAAGAAAAGCAAGAGGAAAGACAGCAAAAATATGAAGAAATGCAAGAGGAAAGACAGCAAAAATATGAAGAAAAGCAAGAGGAAAGACAGCAAAAATATCAAGAAAAGCAAGAGGAAAGACAGCAAAAATATGAAGAAATGCAAGAGGAAAGACAGCAAAAATATGAAGAAATGCAAGAGGAAAGACAGCAAAAATATGAAGAAATGCAAGAGGAAAGACAGCAAAAATATGAAGAAAAGCAAGAGGAAAGACAGCAAAAATATCAAGAAAAGCAAGAGGAAAGACAGCAAAAAATATGAAGAAAAGCAAGAGGAAAGACAGCAAAAAAATATGAAGAAAAGAAATGAAAGACAGCAAAAATATGAAGAAAAGAAAGAAAGACAGCAAAAATATGAAGAAATGCAAGAGGAAAGACAGCAAAAATATGAAGAAAAGCAAGAGGAAAAGACAGCAAAAAATATGAAGAAATGCAAGAGGAAAGACAGCAAAATATGAAGAAAAGCAAGAGGAAAGACAGCAAAAATATGAAGAAAAGCAAGAGGAAAGACAGCAAAAATATCAAGAAAAGCAAGAGGAAAGACAGCAAAAATATGAAGAAAAGCAAGAGGAAAGACAGCAAAAATATCAAGAAAAGCAAGAGGAAAGACAGCAAAAATATGAAGAAAAGCAAGAGGAAAGACAGCAAAATATGAAGAAATGCAAGAGGAAAGACAGCAAAAAATATGAAGAAAAGCAAGAGGAAAGACAAAAAATATGAAGAAAAGCAAGAGGAAAGACAGCAAAAATATGAAGAAATGCAAGAGGAAAGACAGCAAAAATATGAAGAAAAGCAAGAGGAAAGACAGCAAAAATATCAAGAAAAGCAAGAGGAAAGACAGCAAAAATATGAAGAAAAGCAAGAGGAAAGACAGCAAAAATATGAAGAAAAGCAAGAGGAAAGACAGCAAAAATATGAAGAAATGCAAGAGGAAAGACAGCAAAAATAAAAAAAGCAAGAGGAAAAAGCAAGAAAGGCAAAGGAAAGACAGCAAAAATATGAAGAAATGCAAGAGGAAAGACAGCAAAAATATGAAGAAAAGCAAGAGGAAAGACAGCAAAAATATCAAGAAAAGCAAGAGGAAAGACAGCAAAATATGAAGAAAAGCAAGAGGAAAGACAGCAAAAAATATGAAGAAAAGCAAGAGGAAAGACAGCAAAAAATATGAAGAAAAGCAAGAGGAAAGACAGCAAAAATATGAAGAAATGCAAGAGGAAAGACAGCAAAAAAATATGAAGAAAAGCAAAGAAAGACAGCAAAAATATGAGGAAATGCAAAGAAAGACAGCAAAAAATATGAAGAAAAGCAAGAGGAAAGACAGCAAAATATGAAGAAATGCAAGAGGAAAGACAGCAAAAAAAATGAAAAAAGCAAGAGGAAAGACAGCAAAATATGAAGAAATGCAAGAGGAAAGACAGCAAAAATATGAAGAAAAGCAAGAGGAAAGACAGCAAAAATATCAAGAAAAGCAAGAGAAAGACAGCAAAAATATGAAGAAAAGCAAGAAAATACAGCAAAATATGAAGAAAAGCAAGAGGAAAGACAGCAAAAAATATGAAGAAATGCAAGAGGAAAGACAGCAAAAAATATGAAGAAAAGCAAGAGGAAAGACAGCAAAAATATGAAGAAATGCAAGAGGAAAGACAGCAAAAATATGAAGAAAAGCAAGAGGAAAGACAGCAAAAATATGAAGAAATGCAAGAGGAAAGACAGCAAAAATATGAAGAAAAGCAAGAGGAAAGACAGCAAAAATATCAAGAAAAGCAAGAGGAAAGACAGCAAAAATATGAAGAAAAGCAAGAGGAAAGACAGCAAAAAATATGAAGAAAAAGCAAAGAGGAAAGACAGCAAAATATGAAGAAAAGCAAGAGGAAAGACAGCAAAAATATGAAGAAAAGCAAGAGGAAAGACAGCAAAAATATGAAGAAATGCAAGAGGAAAGAGAGCAAAAATATGAAGAAATGCAAGAGGAAAGAGAGCAAAAATATGAAGAAATGCAAGAGGAAAGAGAGCAAAAATATGAAGAAATGCAAGAGGAAAGAGAGCAAAAATATGAAGAAATGCAAGAGGAAAGAGAGCAAAAATATGAAGAAATGCAAGAGGAAAGAGAGCAAAAAATGAAGAAATGCAAAGAAAGAGCAAGAGGAAAGAGAGCAAAAATATCAAGAAAAGCAAGAGGAAAGACAGCAAAAATATCAAGAAAAGCAAGAGGAAAGACTGGGAAAACAGGAAGAAATGCAGATCAAGGTTTTAGAAATTCAAAAGTTAACACTGGAGAAATTAAACAACAATCAGGCAAATGAAGGAAATTCTTCATATTCTAATAACATCATATTTAATTCGCTGGAAACTTTCAACTATGGGCCAGACAAAGAAAAAACGTTTGAAGCGTACTTTAAACGATATGAAGATATTATCTACACAGACTGTGAAAACTGCTCGAATTCAAGAAAAGTCAGTCTATTACTAAGAAAGCTAGATACAGCAGAACATAGCAAATTTGTAGATTTTATTCTACTGAGAAGGACTAATGAATTGGAATTCTCGGAAACAGTGAAATTGCTAAAGGAGTTGTTTGAAACAAATATGTCGCTATGGCATAAGCGATGGTTATGCATGAATGTCGCTAAATCCGACGATCAGGATTACTTAACATATGCATCTATAGTGAATAGAAATTGTGACAATTTCAGATTGGCAGAGATTACGGTTGAAGAATTCAAGTGTTTAATTTTTGCTCAAGGACTGGTATCCAGTAAGAGTGCCGAAATAAGACGTAGAGTTTTTGGCTAAACTCGAATCTGAACAAAACCTTACCCTACAAAAGTTAGCAGAGGAGTGTCAGCGGGCCGTAAGTTTAAAGAAAGAGTCTCAAAAAATCGAAGAAGCTGGCATTGTTTATATTAAAAAAATTTAAAAAAAAACAGTCAAATTACCCATCAGCAAAAAATTGGAGTAAAAATTCGGCGTATTTTAAAAATAGACAAGAAAAATTAAATGAAAAGAACGAGGAGGAAAAAAAGGTCCCACCATATAATTGTAGACGTTGCAACGAAAGACACTGGGAGGTAAATTGCCCATATAGAAATAGGAAATGTTTCGTGTGCCACAAGAATGGACACAAAGGATCGTGTTGTAAAACGAAAAAAGTCAATAGCCGAATTAGACAAACAAATTCAAATATCAAATCAGATAGAGATTTGAGGAAATATGTGACGACTGAAATATTTTAAAAAGAATATCAAATTTCAACTCGATTCGGGTTCAGACTTAACAATAATGAACTATAAAACATGGAAAATTTTAAAAAGGCCTACAATAATGAAGTCAACGAAATGCGCTCGACAGTAACTAGAAAGGAAATTAACTTCGAAGGCGAGGTTGTACTTCCCATGAAATTGAACGGGATAGTTAAAAAAATAAAAGTTTTCATTCTGAAAAATGGAGAAAACTTGATGGGTACAGATTTTATTGAAACATTCGAATTGTGGGATAAACCGTTAAACTCTTACTGCAGAAAAGTAGAAAGTAATACGCAAACAAGACAGGACATTAAAGAGGAATTAAAGAAAAAGTTTCCGGAAACCTTCACACCTGGTCTTGGAAGATGTAACAAGTTTGAAACTAAATTCGAATTAAAGGAAAATACTATGCCAATTTTTCAAAAGAAACGTAACGTGTCTTTCGCAAGTGTAGAGAAAATTAACGAAGAACTTGATAGGTTGGAAAAAATAGGAATTATTTCGAAAGTAGAATCTAATTCATGGGCTGCGCCAATTGTGTGCATAAAAAAGAAATCAAGCCAAGTCAGAGTCTGCGTTGATTTTTCGACAGGGTTGAACTCGGTAATTAAAGACTACCATTACAGTCCGGAGGAGATTTTTAACAAGCTAAATGGTGGAGTTATATTTTCAAAAATCGACTTATCAGATGCCTATCTCCAAATTCCCGTCGAAGAGGAATGTTCGAAGTTACTAGGGATAAACACGCATAGAGGGTTATTCAAGTACAACAGGCTTTCTTTTGGTATTAAAGTGGCACCAGCCATTTTTTCAACAAGCTATGGACGTCATGTTGAATGATTTAGACTTTGTGTGCGCCTACTTAGACGACATCATAGTAAGGAGCGAAACCGTCGACGAACATCGAAAGCATCTCAATGAAGTATTTAAAAGATTCAGAACTTTGGTTTTAAAGTCAAAGAGTCAAAGTGCGAATTTGGTTTGGAGGAAATTAAGTATTTAGGTCACATAATCAACAAAAGGGCAGATTTCCAGATCCGGAAAGGTCCATTGCGATTAGAGACATGCCGACGCCCACTAATGTGGCGATGCTACAGAGTTTTCTGGGGCTCGCAAATTATTATCAAGCGTTCATTAAAGGAATGTACAATCTAAGAGCTCCGTTGAATGAACTGCTAAAAAAGACAAGGCATGGGAATGGACGGTAGAATGTCAGAAAGCCTTTGATGAAATAAAGAGAATGCTTACGTCCGACCTCTTTTTAACCCATTACAATCCAAAACTGGATATTGTAGTGGCAAGTGACGCTAGTCCATACGGGATAGGAGCGTGTATTCAACACATAATGCCAGATGGTTCTAGAAAACCAATTGCACATGCTTCGAGAACTTTACTCCCAGGGGAAAGAAGTTACTCACAAATCGAAAAAGAGGCGTTGAGTATCATATTTGCCATAACAAAATTTCACAGATACATCCACGGCAGACATTTTATGCTTGAAACGGATCATAAACCACTGATCACTATTTTTGGTTCAAAGAAAGGGTTACCAGTTTATACGGCAAATCATCTGTTGAGATGGGGAACCATTCTTCTGAATTATGATTTTCACATAAAGCACCTATCACCCAAAAATATAATTCATGCGGATAGTTTATCAAGACTTGTACCGAGTCAAGAAGAAAGATTCTAAGAATCAATTATTGCAAATATAAGAGCAGATTATGAGGTGAAAAGCATGTTAAACAACATTGTAAGAGAGCTACCGATTACACTAAAGGAAATTAAAAAAGAAGCTGAAAGCGATGATTTCATTTTAGAAATAAAAAGCAAAATGGTAGCAAATGACCAAAAAAGTGCAGGAGATTTATTCAATAGGTGAAGGAGTTTTATTATATGGTGAGAGTAGTAGTACCAAAAAAAGTTGCAGAAAAGAATACTACGGGACTTTCATATGGGTCACCTGGGGTTAATAGAACAAAAAGCTTAATGCGAAGCTTTGTATATTGGAAAGGAATGGATGTGGATATCGCAAACATGGTTCATCGATGTAAAGGGTGTGCGTTAGCAGTTAAGGCACCACCTATAGTACACAAAACATGGCCCAAGACGGATCATCCGTGGACAAGATTTCGCTGGTCCAGTAGAAGATTATTACTACTTAATAGTGGTAGATAATTTTACAAAATGGCCGGAAGTACTACGCTGCAAAATGCCTAGGTCTAATACCACAACAACTTTCTTGCATGAACTATTTGCACGGTTCGGTGTGCCAGAGTGTATTGTGAGTGACAATGGTACACAATTCACTTCTGAAGAATTTAAGGAATTTTGTGAGTTATATCAAATTAACCACATAACGACGCCGCCATATCATCCGAGGTCCAATGGACTCGGAGAAAGATTTGTCGATAATTTAAAGCGCGCTCTGAAGAAAGCCTCAGGAGTTCCAATGGAAAAGGCGCTTCAGCAATTCTTACAAGTATACAGAATCACGCCAAACCAGAGAACACACTCAAACATGGCACCAGCTGAACTAATGTTCGCTAGGAAAGTTAAGTCAGTGTTTGACAAACTTTTGCCAGGAAAAAATAGAGTAAAGAATACTATGTATACAGCGAGAAAAAGATACACCTCCGGAGAGAAGGTGTTTTTCAAGTGCTACAAACAACGTTGAGTTCTGGGAGCGAGGCATAGTGGACAAGAGAATCGGTGACCTGATTTACATAATTAAAGGGCCGAAGAATACTCATAAAAGGCACCAGAATCAACTTAAAAAATGTTACGTTATAGAGCATGAAGAGAGTATACCGGATGAGGAGGAAGATCCCATTGAGGTAATGTATGATATGTTTCAAGTAGAACCTCCGCAGAATACTCCTGAACCGAGAAGATCCGGTAGCAAACGAAAGTTTACTACTTTGTTCATTTATACGTCATCTCCTTTCAATACGTAGGCGAGCATGTCTCTACAGAACTTCTTATGTTTTGTAGCTCTAAGCAAAGATTAAGTTTCTTCCCCTTATTACCTTTACCAGCAATACATTTTTGGAAAAAATATTACCAGAAATACTTTCTGAAA